GGAATGTAGTGTAGTGTAGTGTAGTGTAGTGTAGTGTAGTGTAGTGTAGTGTAGTGTCATTGAGTGTAGTGTGGCGTGGTGTAGTGCGGTGTAGTGTAGTGTAGTGTAGTGAAGCGTAGCGTAGTGTAGTGTAGTGTAGCGGAACGCAGTGTAGTGTAGCCTAGTGTAATTGAGTGTAGTGTAGTGGAGTGTAGCGTAATGTCATTAGCCTAGTGTAGTGTAGTCTTATGTAGTTGTAGTTGTAGTTAGTGTAAATAGGTGACCCCAAGCTGACCGCATGCTGACCTCAGGATGGCCTTATTCTGACCTTAAGGTACCGTGAGGTCACCTGAAGCTAATCACAGGATGGCCTCAAGGGTGACCTTAAGGTGACCCCAAGCTGACCTCCAACCTGACCCCAAATTGAACTTCAAGCTGCTTTCGAAAAGATTTGAAGCTCACCCCAAGGGGGGCCTCAGACTCAAAGTGATTTGAAGCTGACCTCAAAGGTGGCCTCGGCTTCAAGGCGACCTCAATTTGCGACCCCCACCTAACTTCAAGCTAAACCGCAATGTGACCTCAAGCTGACCCCGAAATAGCTTCAAAGTGACATCAAGGTGACCCCCACGCAGCTGACCCCAACCGGACCTCAAAGTGATTTCGAGCTGACTTCAAAATGATTTCAAATTAGCAAGCTAACCTCCAGCTGACCTGCGCTGACCACAAGGTGGCCTCAAGCTGACCTCGCCTCAAAGTGGCCTCGCTCTGACCTCAACTTGACCTCAAGGTGACCCCAAGGTGACGCAGTTCAAGGTGACCCCAAGCACCCCAAGATTCACTTCAAATACGTGACCTCAATCAGTGACCCCAATAAGTGACCACAAGGTGATCAACGTGACCTTAGGGTGACCTTAAAGCGGCTTCAAGCTGAGCTCAAGGTGGCCTTGCTTCAAGGTGAACTCAAAAAAGTGAACTGGCTGCAAGGTGGATTCAAGCTGACCCCCGCATGACCTCAAGCTGACTGCACCTCAAGCCGAGCTTAAGCTGGCCTCAAGTTAACTTCAAGCTGACCACGAGCCGACCTCAGGGTGACTTCGCCTCAGTGACCTCAAGGTGACCTTAAGGCGGTTTCAAGTTCAATTCATGAAGCTGCCTTCAAGCTGACCCCAAGGTGATTTCAAGGTGATGTCAAGCTGACCACAAGAGTGACTTCAAGGTGACCTGAATCTGACCTCATGCTGACTTCAATTCAGCCTTAAGCTTACCTCAAGCTGACTACGAAATAACTTCAAAGGGACCTGAAAGTGACTTCGAGCTGACATCGCGCTGCCCTCCAAGGTGACTTCGAGTTAGCAATCTGACCTCCAGCGGACCTCGCGCAGACCACAAGGTGACCTCAACCTGACCTGACGCAGACCTCGAGCTGACCTCACCTCAAAGCGGCCTCGCTCTGACCTCAGCTTCATTTCAAGGGACCTCAGCTTCATTTCAAGCTGACCTCAAGGTGAGCCCAAGGTAGCCTAGCTCCAGGTGACCGTGAAATGACTTCAAGGTAGCTGGCCTCAAGGCGGCCTCGCCTAATGGTGACCTCAAGCTGACCTCAAGGTGGATCTCAAGGTGGCATCGAGCTGACGTCAAGGTGGCCCCGTGCTCACCTCCAACCTGACCTCAACACGACCTCGGGATGACCTCAAGGTGTGCCTTCAAGCTGACCCGGCTGACCTCATCTCGCGCTGACCACGAGGTGACCTCAAGCTGACTTCAAGTTACCCTCGAAGGGACTGCAAACTGACCGCATGCTGACTTCAAGATGACACCAAGGTGACCTGAAGGTGACCTGAAGGTGATTTTAAGCTGACTTGAAGCTGACTTCAAAATCATTAAGCTTACCCCAAGCTAACTTCAAGCGGACCTCAAGTCAACTGACCCCTAGTTGACCTCAAGCTGATCACGAAAAGGTGACCTCAAGGTGAAGGCAGGCTGACCCCAAGGTGACCGCAAGGTAACGCCAGGCTGACCTCAATGCGCCCTCGCCTCCAGTTGACCTCAAGACGACCTCAAGCTAACTTCAAGGTGAAAGGTGACTTCAAGCTTGCCCCAAGGTGACTTCACGATGATCTTGTATGGTCCGATCTCATTCAGCAGCTTCACCGCACGTTTGCAAGCGTATAGGCCTAGCCAGTCCAACGCAGGTGCGATCATGAAATGCTAAAGAGGGATGTTACAGGGTTGTTAAAACCCGACTAGTGAAGAATGCTCCTGTCGTGAAAACCACGAAAGGGTCACCATTTTTCATCGTTTTGGGATAGAAGTTAGATGAATTTAGCAACCCTCTCGGCAAAAACTCGACTGGTGAAGAATGCTCCCGTCGTGAAAGCCACGAAAGGGTCACCAATTTGTCACTTTCCAAGGCTGCCAAGATGCATACATGGCTTGTTGTGTATCTAGCTCTGGAGTCGCAGCTACCCAGATAACTCCAGGCCTTTCTAAAACCTGCTCCGGCTGCTGCTGCGGCTGCTTCTTGCGGCCTCAGCTCTGTGCTCTCTCAGGTCTGTGCTGACGACAGGTCTTGTGGAAGAACTTGCTTGTTCCTTGAGAGCACATGAACTACATCCCTCATCTCAGCAGCATGTCGCTCTGCAGCGTCATCTCTGGCCTTCTCCGAGAGGAACGCCTGTTCCATGGCCATGGCTTTCTCATTCTGCTGCAGCCGTCCATAGACAACTTCCGCCGTGTGAGCCCGCTGCCTCTCCCTCTCTGCCAACATTCCCAGCAGTGCCATTGCTGAAGGAACATGCTGACCACCATAGCCTCTTGTCGCCATCGGCTGGTGCACTACGGGCCTCTCGTATGGTGCCATGCTGGCGGCAGGGGCTGTGTCTTCCTCCGCAGCTGCAGAAGCTCGTTTGAGCTCTCGTCTCAAGGAACGGCTTCTGGTGCGGCTCTGGTCTGACCCTGCTGCCGTCTCCGTAGGTGCAGCCACTTCCCCTCGCCATTCCTTCTGCGCGTCCGGCGGGTGAAAGTACTGTGTCAGTCCCGGTGGGGTCGGTGCTAGTGTGGTCTCAGCCACAGCAGGAGCTGCACCGGTTTGCACTTCTTGTAGCCATGGAGGATTGCCTACAGGTTGGTTTAGCTGCACGACACGGATTGGTACTGGAGTGTCGCACACCAGAGAGTCCGCTACCTGTTTGCGTGTGGCCATGGCTCCAGTCACCAGCCTGCTGCGACTGCAGCAAAGACTCAACTTGCTGCTGAGCAGCTGGTGGTGCATGTTCATCTAGTTTCTTCTCAAAGGAAGTATCTGACAGTTTGCAATATCTTGCAAGAGCCTTGTTGCAATTCATTGCCCTCTAAATCTGTCGTTTTCAAGGCTATGCATACCATGTTTACTGTTTAATCCCGGGCGAATCCAACATCTCCAATCTCTCGGGTCGACCTTGAAAGTGCTCCAAAATGCTTCAAACTTGCAGATAGAAATCATAAGTCAAAAGATCTCTCAGGGTCACAAGGTCTGTCAGATCTGTCAGAATTGCGTCTGTGTTCCTAGATGTTCCCACTCTGTTGATGACACTGTTCGTCCAAGAAGCGGCTCCTCAATCATCTGCCGCCAGCGCCAATGGCGTTTAACCCGAAATGAGCAGCAACCTGCACTCGACGCCAAACAAAAAGAGTTTGGCATTGCATGGCAGTACAGAACAAAAAACAGTCAGAACTGCAACGGCTTGAAAACAGGCAACCATCAATGCCATCAATGTGTTCTGAGTGGTGTAAGTGGTGCAAGTCAGTGCAAGTCTTATCCTGCAGCGAACTCTGATTTGACAAAGGAAAACCGTCTGACGATGGCACGCCTTTGTCTGCAGGCAATCGGAGAGATTTCGCGGGTGCTCGATTCCAACTCCTTGTTGAGATGCCATGCACCAGAATCATATAGAACCATATAGAACCACATGTATCATATACATAATATACATGCATATATATATATATATTATGTACCATTTAAACCATATAGAACCATGAGAATCACCGAGCCGTACTGAACTTTTGCCAAATACACAGTGCATTGACTAAATTGTCCAGGCCCAGCATACTGTGTCTGAAAAGACATGGGGTTTTGCATGTGCTTGGAATCACCAGGTCCGGTCTCACCTCTTCTTGCTGATATGAATTTTACCAATAACAAATGATAATAGGGTACCCCAAAACCGACTTGTTGATTCTCATTTTCCAGATGAAGCAGCATTTTGGGGGGTACGCCGTGCCATTGTTTGCCTGACTCATGATTGAGACTTGCTGAATGCCATCGAAGCTTGCTGACAGTCCTGGTGGTCGGAATGCTTTCAGGACTGTCAACCTGTAGCAGGCTGGCAGCACGGTCCCTGGCGCCTCGGACTCAAGCGCACAAAGCAAAAACCTACTCTTTCCCCTCGCCAAGCTCAATGAAACTGAGTGAAACTTCAACCACACTTCCACATCCTTCCACATCCTTCCACATCCTTCCACATCCTTCCACATCCTTCCACATCCTTCCACATCCTTCCACATCCTTCCACATCCTTCCACATCCTTCCACATCCTTCCACATCCTTCCACATTCTTCCACATTCTTCCACATACTCACTTCCAAGATCCTGGCGTGGGTTGGACTTGGGCCGTCGTGGCATTCCCACACGCTTGGCAAAGTCCAGCCCAAAATGCAAGCTGATCGCCTGCTGAAAACAGATGTAGGTACACTTGGCACATAGTCGCATAAGAAGGACAGCGCGATTGAGTTTTTCTTCAGTGGTGCAGTGCTTGTCGCGCTTTCTTTCTCATTTCCTCCATGTTCACAACAAGTCATTACAGCAATTACAATGCCATCAGGTTCTCATAGATGCAGATGCTTCTTCTTATTCTTCCCCCTTGCACCTGCAACAGCAGCAGTGCTACCCAGCACCGACAAGTGCCACGCTTCGCCATGGTCTTGGTTGCTGCCCTGCGACCGTTGCAGTCGCATTAGATCCGAGATGCAGTGCTTTTTCAGCACAGCTTCAACATGCTTCAACCAGTGAACCGTGACTGACATCATGAGAATGTGTTGCTACATGTTGCTATCTGCTTGCGTCCCATGGTGTGATCATCCTACTTGAGTCAATCGAATTACAGACACACGGAGTCTGCTGAACTAGTTGCGTCATGGCATGTCATGCCTGGTCGTCCAATGTGCCCAACATTTCTGCGGAGCTCTCACAGCTGCAGATCGAAAGCGGAGCCAAGTGGTTGCACACGGAGCATATCGAAAACAACATCAGAGCATAGCGGAGCCAGAGCCAATGAGTTTTTTTCATGTAAAAAACATGTGGCTCCCAAATACTCCCAACATGATTCAACATGCTGTGCAACATGCCCTGCAACATGTGTGTGAAAAGCATATTTGGGGGGTCGTGCTGGCCTTTGAAGCTGCCTCTTGCAGACAAGGGCTCCTGGCAAGACTGGCCCTATCCTTTCTGCTTTCCATGATTTTTCAGACCTGCAATGCACAGCGTGATCCATTTTATCTTTGAATCGTTTCGTTCCATCCTATGCTCTGATCTAAACTACCAGCCGACAAAGGTATCCAAAGGTATCAATCACGCCAAGGCAACCCCAGTAAGTGGCGGCAGCGAAACGGCTTCATCCGCCTAGGATTTCGTGCTCTGAAACACTGTTGAACCACAGAGAAACATGGAGAAACTCTCAGTCGAACCTTTCCTATCCTTTCCAGCCTTGTCTGTTTCTGTGACCTCTCTGGATCATCGGCAAAGAGGGCAAAGTGGGGGCTTGTAAAGAGATCGAGGCCATATCCTCACCCGTCCGCCTTGTGCTCGAGATTGGTAACTTCGGCCACACCTTGAAATGAAGCGTGAAATCGTATAACATTTCAATGTGCTACACTTGCGCTAGCTCTTAGAAGGGGCCTGGTGTAGAAACCAATATCCGTTTGCCATCTGAGACATTGCCACCAGCGACCTCGGATCCATGACGATCATGGTCATGATGATCATGATGAGATCCATGTGCCCTCAGGCAACAGCAACTCCGTGTACTCAGAGTATACTCAGCATTTTCCGGAGTATTTTCCCATATTTTCCGCGTTTGGCGGAGATTCTGGAGCCCGGGCATGAAGTGATCCACCCAAAACAGCTCCGGACGTTTTTGGCCTGGAGCTGTACTTTCGGATCAACATCTTGCTCTTTCGGAAAATGAAGGAATCATTCGGAATGATCAGAAAAAATGATCAGTGTCAGAGTAACATTGTTCGCAGCGTAACTTTGCACTGTCTAATATCAGGCTAAGTCAAGGCAAGTATATTAAAACCCAGAGATGAAATCCATCGCGCTGAATCAACATTCATTGAAATCTGAAGATATGCCACAAGTTCTCCGCAACAGGCATGAAGTGGTATCAACAATTTAGACTCTCAACTCATGCCTCTTCTCTTCGTAGGTGCCACTTGCCTCGAATGCGGCAGGATGTGCCAGCTGCTCACATTCCCATGACATCTCATGAAGTACTCCTCTCAATGTTGACTCGAAAGGCTCAAGTGGTGCAAAGAGGTTTTGTAAATGCCATATTGGAGATTCAAAGGGCTTTGATGCCAGAGGTTGCGTTTGTATGATGTGTCCAGCTGTTTTTGAACAAAACAGCAAATTGCAGGACTCTATGTCAGAAGCAGTCACTTTCAATGTACGAGTACTCAATTCACATATCAGTGCGACCAAAGCCCTTTTCAATGTTGTCTTCAAAATAACATGCATTCGCTCAAGGCAGTGGAATGGCTTAGACTTTCTTTGCAAGAGTAATGGTGGTGTAGAAGTAAGGGTCATTGCCCAAGCCTTCCAAAAATGAAGCCCTGGAATCGCGGAAGTCTCCAAAGAACGCATCGCGTCGTGTACTATCTCTACTAGATCCTACATAACATTGGATAACTACATAGCTCAATCTGTCTTAGGTTTTCTTGCGCGGACCGAGGCACGGGAATGCCACGTTGCTGCCAGCCTGCGGACAAATAAATACCTCCTAGACTTTCCGAGGCTGTATTGAAACATATTGAAACATACAACAACAGCGTGAGCTGCCGAAAGTAATTTGGTGGAATGCAAGACATGGAATGTACTGAACCCGTTTGCCCAGCAGCTTTCTGTTATACCGTGCCTTACGGCTAAAAGATGCTGAAAGCATTTCAAAAAAGTACAAACACAAAAAAAACAAATATAAAGCTATGAGTTTAACAAATGCTTCAACTATCTCGATCCAGGAGTTGTGTGTGGTGGACCTAATAGCATCGCACACTCAGTGTGAAACGTGTCTGGAATTGTCTGGAATATTGCTGAGTCTGAAAAAGGTCACACCATTCTGGACCTTTTTGGACCTCTCTTCCCTCCCCCGCCCTAAGCCAACTCTAAGGAGGCAGCGAGCCTGGCCCGCCCATGGCGAATTGTCGTCGTGTGAAGAAGTTGTCTTCAGGGCTATTTGAGCGCTCCGGGGTTGGCTTCGGCTGCGAAGCTGACGCCTTGCCGGACAGAAAGGAGCACCAAGACAGCCGAAAAAAAGACAAATTGAACAACACAATCCATGTTGGACAAATCTGGACAAACCTGGACAAACCCCGTCATCGTCCTCCTCCTCCTCCTCCCCTCCTCCTCCTCATCATCATCATCATCATTCTCATGTGGGAGCAAATCGGTATGCCACGGATGTAAAAAGAAAGGCAAGAATGAGAGGACGGCGTCGGACAGAGAACATTTAGTTCTATAGCTTGCCCGAGCCAAAGAAATATAGGACCTAGGAGGATTTGTTTCGCAACTATGCCACTGCCATGCCACTGAGGCCCTTACAGCCTTGGCTCTACGCAAAGAGGACCTTCCCTCAGCACGTCACGACTGTCCAGGTTGCCAACTTAGTCGTAACTTCGCGCGATACGTGCCGGTCATGAGCCCCTTGTCATCCCTTGTCATCCCTTGTCATCCCTTGTCATTTCAATGTCAAATTCGTTGTTTAATTCGTTGCTTAATTTGTTGCCTATCAGCACTGCTTAACTGCATTTAACCACTGAGTTCTCCCGCCTTTTCACTGTCCTGTCTAAACCTCGATCCCACTCCAGGTCCCGGACTCAAACTTTTCAGCACGGTTCCAAATTCAAAGCAGCGAGTTACGGAAATGACGTCAAATGAATATCAAATGAATATCAAATGACTGAGGCCAGAACACGGGAGGAGAACCGTCTTCACCTGCATCAAAACCAGCTAAAGTCAGCAGCAGTTGCAATGCAATTAATATCGATTAATACAATCATAAAATATAGCAAAGTAGAATCTTTATGACTTAAGTTTCAGTCACTTTCAGATATGTTGTAGAGATTACTTTGTTCTGCCCTTTCTAACTTCGCCTCCGCTTCCGGAAGCTAAAGCAATGGTGGTGAGCGCTGTTGGATCCCACTCAGCTGGCCTTTGGCCTAGCGAATCAGGACGCAGGACGGACAGGATGAGGTACGCGAGGTACGCGAGGTACGGGACGCACCGTGCGCATGTGAAATGTGCGAAATGTCAATGTCGTATGCGAAGGATATCGAAGGATGAAAATCAATACCTATGAGTCATAGAAGTTATAGAATAAGTCATAGAATGAGTCGTACTATGAAAGTCAATAAGGTTTGGACTCGCAACAGCTCGCACACCAAACATCCAAGCATTCATGTTAGGCACAATAGGTGCAACAGCTGAGAAAACGGTGCGAGTTTGAGACAATGGCGGTGGATAATCCAATGCATTACCTGAGGCACGTGTCACAGGCGTGCACATGTGAAAAGGAAAAGTATTGCGGGTGACATTGCAATAGAACCCCTTTGAAAACATCGCCTGCAAGATATTACAAGATAATGCAAGATTGAGGAGCCCAACGACTCCTGTGTTTTCATTCTTATCGCCGAATAGGACGTCAATCAAACACGTCTGTGAAATTCTAGGAACAGTGACAATATGGGAAAATTGGACCAAGGGGCAGAATGAAGATGACTCAGCAAATTGGCACCTTCCAGACTCAATGGCTGCTCAAAGGTTCTGGTAGAGTTTGAACGAATCACCGGCCTGAAGCATGTTCTCTCCGCGGCCTCTCACAAGTAGTAGCACAATTTAAACACATCAAACACTATCACCCTGAACAAATGAAAGGGTGCAAACCAGCAAGTTCAAACAGAGCTGACGTGCGGAAACCGGTAAAAGGAGGTGCATAAAGCAAAGGACAAAATTCGACTGTGACGCCATAGGGAGAAAACCACGTCATCTTGCCTGAGGCACACTCTACCCAGGCAGAAGACACCCTGTGATAGGAACCTCGGCGAAGCATGGCATTGTAAAACAAAGCACAAACAAAAACATGGCACTGACAGGGTTTCTATGGCACATTTGAAGCCGTGTAACTGGCACAGCAGCACAGTGTCTACTAGTCCCTTGTGTTGTTGCTGCAGCTTGCGGCACAACAGTCAATGCGTTCCTTCTGTGTAGGTTGTCGTGAACATGTCTCTTTCAGTGTCATGTTCTGTTGGACCTCTTTGCCCTCAAGTCACCTTGGCCATCTTTCTATGTAGCTTCAACTGGAATATAGAACTGCTGCTTGCGCCTACCTACTAGCTTCATCCAATTCCAGGTTCTACCTTCACATGTCGAAATCATCACTTACAATCTTCGCTCTTTGCCGAGATCCTTCAGATTTTCCACATTCCACGGTCCAAATCAAAACAATTCGGGAAATCAAATCTTCAGATTTTCCTTCGCTATGCTTCGCTCTTTTTCGCTCTGGGTGGCAAGCTCCAACTGCTGCTGCACCACCTCTGTGAGCGTCGAGCCCGACATGAAGCTGGCCTCGCAGACGACCGTGCTGGCTCTCACCTCTTGCCCCCCAGACTCAAAACTCATTCCACACTTCTTTGTTACGCTGCCCTTGGTTACAGTTCCTCTGTGTTTAAATTTAATTGTTCCTTGAATTCTTTGTACCGGTGCAGCGC